TCCTATGCAACATATTAGAAATTGGCTTTCATCAATCCAATCTATCTGTTAAAATCTTCAACAAACTTGCAGTGCGTTGCGTTTCAACCCTAAATTCTAGAAAATGGCTCCGATAAATGTGAGTGAAGCCCAGAATTGTTTTGGTTTCAGTGCATGATATACAAACTGATCTAAGCCCTTCAGATTTTTACACACATGCCATCCAAATCGCATCGATCTGAGAGATGCATGATAATGGGTACATAGTACATCCTGTGCGAGCTTGCGAGAGTTTGACCAACACAAAAGGTTTCATAAACCTTTGGTATATCCTTCTTATTTGAATTAATATCTACAGATTATACTTAAAGGAGAACCTTCGTGCCAATTTTGGCGTAGGATTCAAGACCACCATTCACATTTGATATTAAGATTTGTGCGACGTTTCATTGGTAAGGACTGGATTATTCTCTAATACTACCAAAAACCGTCAACTCAATGTGTCCCCATTAGAAAGATTCGTTTGATCACTTTCACTGTAACGTTTGATCCCTTTAATGCACATCACCCGCTGGTTCATTGTCTTCTCTACTTCTCCATAACCCTCCATGTGTGAAACTTGTAACGCGTTTAACAAAGTTATGCCAAGTTATGCTCATTAGCAACCGGTAATCCTGGCACTCAACTTTGCCAGATCCAGATAATAAATCCTGTTACGAATATCGATCTCGAGCTTGCGAGCTCTATGGAAATAGTAATGACATCCAGTGAATTTTACTAAATGTACATTCCATGTTGTGTACATTAAAAAGTAACTTACATAATATTTGAACCATTCTACAAATTCGGTGTCCAAGCTTTGCATCAACTGGCAAGTATTCAGTCAAATATTAGATTTCGAAGCCGAGAAGATTGAATATAATTGCGTTATTTATCCATAGAGTCTGAATCTGAAAGTTAGCAATAACGTATGAATTTAGACCCTCTAACCGTCCCACGTCAAAGTTTAGACTGTTTACATTATTCTATTACTTAATGGTACATATGCTGCTCGTGATCTTCATTCGCAATTGAATAAAATATAGGTTTTTTGAGCCGCTTGCAGCTTTTTCTTAATCCGAAATGCGAGCCACGCAGATGAATCTGGGCAACTAACAAATTTTTCGCTTACTCTAGGTACAGAATCCGATCAAGTGATAGATGATCTTGATTTGTTCATATATTACATCAGTTAGGGATGCTTATGCTCCAAATTGTTGGCTCACCTGCACTTGGCCACAGCTCTAATGCGTGAAACCCGCTATTTCGTCCCTGACTTTATGCTCCAATTGTTGCTGCACTGAAAGTTCGTGAAACCGCTATTTCGTTCCCTGACTTGTTTGAGAAACTTACAGATCATGAGAGATCCTTGAAAACCAGTGAGCAACCCGTTGCTCCAGCTATTGCTACTGCTAATTATACACAAAGATCTGGAACTGGAGGTCACAATGGTAGCTCTAATACATGCAGAGGTCGTGGTAGTTATAACGGGAATAACTCGCGTAATTCCCAATATAACAGTCGAGGTACTTATCGCCCGAATATTGTTTGTCAATTTTGTGAGATAACAGGGCATGCAACAGTTGAATGCCGCAAGCTTGCAAGGTTTCTTAAAGAGAATAATATGGTAGTTCGAACAGAATTGTCTACCTCTTCAGTGGCACCTCCTTCAGTCAATGCCACTTCTGCCATGACTTCTTCATCGCCACAGGAAGTCCACAGCTACATCGCCACAGCAATGGCTTTTTGACAGTGGGGCATCTCATCATGTCGTTTCTAACCCTTCTTCTTTACAGGGCTATACAGATTATGGTGGACCAGATGAAATTCAACTTCGTGATGGTAAAACTCTTGCTGTAACACATACTGGATTTGCTACTCTTTCGGCTGATTCTACATATTTATCTCTTCCTAATGTGTTGTGTGTACCAAATTTGCACAAAAATTTGATTTCTATTGCCAAGTTATGTCAGACTAACCATGTTTCTGTGGAATTTTTTCCAAAAATTTGATTTCTATTGCCAAGTTATGTCAGACTAACCATGTTTCTGTGGAATTTTTTCCACTTTATTTTGTTGTGAAGGATCTGCGCACGGGGGCGTCTCTGCTACGAGGCCAGAATATTGATGACATTCATTATGCAAACTTTTCTCAGTGTCATTCCAGTTCACAATTGCATACTACAGCTCGTCTGTCTTCTCTTTCTACTGGGCATCATAAGCTTGGTCATCCGTCTAATAAATTTTTTAGTATAGCTCTTAAACGTATGGGTTATGAGTCATTGTCTAAGTCTGTTTCCAATTTTCATTGTGTTTCTTGTTCAATGAGTAAAAGCCATAAATTGCCTTTTTTAGAAAATTCTCTTACTAGTACTAAACCTTTAACCTTTGCAACTTGTGTATTCTGATGTTTGGGGACCAACGAAAACAATCTAATTGATGGTTATGTGTATTATGTCAACATTCATTGACTCATTTACTAAATATACCTAGCTATAATCCAAATGGAAGAAAAATCAGAATACATCATGAATTTATTTATTCATGTTTTCACAAATCATCCGTCTAATAAATTTTTTAGTATAGCTCTTAAACGTATGGGTTATGAGTCATTGTCTAAGTCTGTTTCCAATTTTCATTGTGTTTCTTGTTCAATGAGTAAAAGCCATAAATTGCCTTTTTTAGAAAATTCTCTTACTAGTACTAAACCTTTGCAACTTGTGTATTCTGATGTTTGGGGACCAACAAAACAATCTATTGATGGTTATGTGTATTATGTCACATTCATTGACCACTTTACTAAATATACCTAGCTATATCCAATGAAGAAAAAATCAGATACACATGATTTATTTATTCATTTTCAAAAAATAGTAGAGAATTATTTTCAAACCAAAATAATATCCGTTCTTTCTGATAATGGCGGTGAATATCAAAAATTAAAATCGCATTTTCTATCTTGTGGTATTTCTCACTATACATCGCCGCCACACACTCCAGAACATAATGGAACCGCTGAAAGACGGCATCGATTTATTGTTGAAACCAGTCTCTCTCTATTACATTTTGCATCTTTGCCTCCTGAATTTTGGTCTTATGCATTTCTTGCAGCTGTCTATCTAATAAATTGTTTACCATCATCTGTTCTTTCTTTTGCAACACCATTTTTCCAGTTATTTGGTCGGTCTCACGATTCTATTCGTCTTAAATCTTTCGACTGTTTGTGCTTTCCTTGGCTGCGTCCTTATGTCAGTTCCAAATTGCAATCTCGGTCCCAACCTTGTATATTTTTGGGCTATTCTTCTACACAATCTGCTTATAAGTGTTATGATCCATCCACCAAAAAGTTGTATCTCTCTCGGCATGTTAAATTCGTCGAGCATGTTTATCCCTTCAAAGTTTGCACTAATGTTCGTCAATTTACAATGTTATTTTCATATGTTCCCTGCGCAGGTGTTGCACAACAAATTGACACTAGTCCTGTCATGGTTAATCAGCTGCCGGTCCCTGATATATCACTACAATCTGCTGTTGCTTCAACTCCAGCTCCTGAATAGCAGCAACAAGATGTTTCTACTTCACTTGCTGGTTCTTCTACTGAAATGTGAGTCTCTCCACAAGGCCGTCCTACTTCAGAATCAACTGTCTCACCTGGTATTGTGCCTTTGGTTGCTACTGATAGTTCCTTAGTTTCTGCTGCGTTACCATTGGTTGTTGGTTCTCAGTCTCAACGTCAACAGAAACTTAATACACGGTACTTTAATGATTCTTTTGTGAATGTTACAACTAAATATCCTATACAAGATTCTGTTGAACCGAGAACTGTTAAGCAAGCACTAAAAGATGCACTCTGGCGTCAGGCTATGGATTCTGAATATAATGCCTTGTTGAAAAATAACACATGGGAGTTAGTTCCTAAAGCTCATCATAAACCCATTGGGTGTAAATGGGTGTTTCGCATTAAGCGTAAACCTGATGGCACTATTGAAAGGTACAAGGCGAGACTCGTCGCTAAAGGATTTTGACAAGAAGAGGGTCGTGATTATTTTGAGACATTTAGTCCTGTCACAAAACCTGTCACGATTAGAGTGGTTCTTACACTGGCAGTTTCACACGGTTAGCCATTGCGGCAGCTTGACGTTAATAATGCTTTTTTACAGGGTACTCTTCATGAAAGTGTCTATATGCACCAACCTCTGGGGTATGTGAATACTGATTATCCTGATTATATTTGCCACTTACGTAAGTCGCTTTATGGTCTTAAACAAGCGCCTTACACTTGGCATTACAGTCTCTCTCACATGTTAGGGCGCGAGTGCGGGCAGATTGGACGTTAGTATAATGGCTCTTTATTACTAGGGGTACTAGTCGTCATCCTGAAGTAGTCCTATTATGCACATCGCGGCGCAACCTCTTGGGTAATGATGAATACTGATGTATCCACCTAGTTATATTTGCGCCACTTAATACGTAAGTCGCTTAATGGTTCTACAAGCCGCCGCGAGCTTGTAATATTTTGCATTGCGGCAGCTTGACGTTAATAATGCTTTTTTACAGGGTACTCTTCATGAAAGTGTCTATATGCACCAACCTCTGGGGTATGTGAATACTGATTATCCTGATTATATTTGCCACTTACGTAAGTCGCTTTATGGTCTTAAACAAGCGCCGCGAGCTTGGTATATTGAGCTTACCATATTCTTAGGATCACTTGGGTTTCGAAAATCTAATGCTGATGCTTCTCTTTTTATCTTTAGCTTAAATGGTGTTATTGCTTATTTTCTCATATATGTCGACGATATAGTGCTTACTGGCAATGACACTAAATTTTTGGATGACTGTGTTTCTCATTTGGCCAAATGATTTTCTATTAAGGACTTGGGTACCTTGCATCATTTTCTGGGTGTGGAGGTTATTTCTACATCTACAGGTCTTTTTCTCTCGCAACATCGACATATCCATGATCTCTTGGTTAAATTCAAAATGGCAGGTGCAAAAGCGGTTAGTACACCTCTGTCCACTAGTGACAAGTTAGTTTTATGTGATGGGTCCCCTTCTGCCGATGCTACTATTTATAGGCAGATTATTGGAGCTTTGCAGTACTTGGCTATTACACGGTCGGATGTGTCTTTTACAGTCAATCGTTTATGCCAGTTCATGCATGCTCCAACACAAAATCATTTTCAAGCCTTGAAGAGAGTTATGCGATATTTAAAAGGTACAATCTATTATGGATTATTTCTTCGTCGACATTCTGCTCATAAATTAACAACATTTTCTGATTCTGACTGGGGAGGATCACTTGAAAATGGAAGATCAACAACTGCATATGTTTTATATCTTGGTTCTAATGTTATCTCTTGGAAATCCACTAAGCAGAAGACGGTGTCTAGATCTTCCACTGAGGTAGAATATAAGGCATTGGCTAATGCTGCAGCAGAATTAATTTGGGTTCAAAATTTGTTAAAAGATTTGAGCTTTCCTGTTTTAGAACCCCCCAGTTATTCATTGTGATAATATTGGAGTCACTTACTTTTGTGCAAATCCAATATATCACACCAAGATGAAACATCTTGCCTTGGATTATCATTTCGTGTGAGAAAGAATACATGCTGGTCAGCTTCGGGTCCATCATATTAGCACTAAAGATCAAAATGCAGATATGCTCACCAAGCCTCTTGGTCGCCCACAGTTTCACGTCCATTAGGGTGCACCTCACAGTTTCAATTTTCCCGATGCTATAGGATCTTGAGTTTTCCGATGGATCCATTCTATCTATCATTTGCGTGGGGCGTGACTTGAGAGAGAGAAGACACAGAACACTAACTACTTTCTCTACTTTCCTGTTTTTAAAATATAGTAGTTGCGTGAATTCTTCCTTTATACTAGCGTATACGTATATAATCTAAGGTTAAGGGTATAGTCCTTGGATAAGGTTTTATTTTAAGGAAATTGTGTTGATTATATATCTTAACAATATAGACAGTAATCATATTCCTTTTTCATGAAGAGAGAGAGTTTCTTAATTACAGAATTTTTTTTTTGTTATTTGATAAATTAATATTAATCAAGAATATTTTTATTTTACATACTATTTTTTAAAATTCCATAGAATAGACTTCATGTCATCAAATAGGAAGAAATTACTTATTACATATATACAATTCATTGCATCGCTTTATCATTTTTGTAAAAGTCCATGAATGGTCTCAGGCATTTCATAGATTTCCTAAACGAACTTTATCTTGACGCTTATTCAATTATAGGAAATGCGTTTCAATGGGAACAGAAGTTAGTTCTTTGCAATTATTTGTCCGAATATTTTAAAATGGATACATGCCTTTACCTGGATTTTGAGACTTAGTGAGTTTTTAATTTATAGAAAAATTAAAAACGATTAAAATTTCTTATAACGTTATACGTGTCACTCCGCATGATTTGAGTACTTTTTTTTAAAAAAATTTTCTAAAACTTTTTATAGCATTTCTATTTCCATATCGATAATGTATTCTATAATCTAAACTAAAAGGTTTAGAAGTACGATATTAAAACTTTTAAAATTTTTTTGATAAATGAAAATTTAAAAACCTCCTTAAAATTTTTGAAATTTTTGAACTGCTGTACGTTGAATGTTCCCAAATGTTTTTTCTTCCGTCATCTAATTATACCTCCCAATATATATAAATCAGGGTCACCTTCTCCTCTAATGATTTTATTCACAATTGGTTTTTCTTTTTATCAGTTTTGTTGTTTTCTTCATTATTTTAAGTTTTAAATGAATTTTCGAGGGTTTTTTAGCTACTCTATTTTATTTTGCAAGTGTGTAATCTGTTTGTTTTTGCAGATTTTAATTCCAGTAAAAGGATGACCAATATAAAAAACTTTTCCCCAATCCATATTAGATTACCTGACAATTTTTTTTTCAACTAAAGTAATGTTAATTTATACCGTTTCTTTGGTTATCTTCTTTGTCCTTCCTTTTTCTTTTCAGAATTTTTTTAACTTTGAAATGATATACATACAGAAAAATGGATATAGGGCAAAGATAAAGGCAGAAAATGCCGATATAATTAAATCTCATCATTTGTGACAAAGTTATTTTTCTCTTTATAATACATTGGTGTAGATGATGGAGTACATTCTTTGAGTGTTTTTTTCACATATTTTGTGTAGTTTTTAATAGCTATGAATGAAATGTTTGAGTTTTAATTATTTATTATTATTGTTATTATTATTTTTCCTCTTTTTTTATTTGTTTTGCTACTAAAGTAAGGTGTTTAAAGAGAAAATATAAACATTAAAATTAATAAATAAATTAATAACAAGAGAGCCAATAGCCACGATAACTATCTGATAAAATTAAAAAATAAATATCATTTATAAATTAAAAAGGTGAAAGATACCTAAATATTCTTATCATTTAAAATTTAATTTATTATTATAATATTAGATAATAATATAGATATAATGATTATTATTTAAAATTTAATATTCATTGATGATATTTATGCGCGTCATATCTTATAATTCTGTTTGAAACTTTTATAGAGATCAATTTATACTATATTTTCCTTTAAGCTTAAAAATTAGTACGTATTTAAATAATTATCTATATTGATATTTACAAATATATATCCATATATTGTATAATATAATCAACTTAACAGTAATTTCAAGCGTGGTCCTTCTTCGTCACTTTGTGGTAAAGGCAGTTGAGAGGTTTTTCGATTTGAGTTATGCTCTTTGTCGACTAATGGGTATCACCAGTTAGTTTGATTGAGCACTAGTATATCCTTATTGTGTAAATCGTAATCGTTAATTTTGACCCAATAAAAGTCTCCATCGATTAAAAAAAAATACACCACTATATATCTAATAAGGATTTATATTGCATTTTATGATAGTATTTATAGCCATATCGTACTATTTTAATAAATTTTGGAAAAAAACTAAATATTATAAATAGCCCATTATATTCAAAAATTTTTTTCTTATATTTCATAAAATATATTGGCAAATTACATTTATATTTCAAATGCAAATACCTAATAATTAAAATATGGTATAAAATTGATTTCTTTTTGTCAAAATACATCTCATCATTCCTTCATTTTGAAAATCTTAAGAGTTTTTTTTTAGTATTTAATGTATATACATAAGCTAATCTTTTCACTTTCCATCAAAATTTATTTTTTCGTTTAAATGAGTACCTACATAAGGTTTGCAAAATAATACAGAGACAAACTAGTTAAATTTTAGCATAACAACATCACATAGTTAATAGTTTCATTATCTTCCAAAACAAAAGTAAATTCACAAGTAATCACAAAAAGTATAAAAAATCGATGGCCATCCATAAACAAATATTAATTTAATTTTATTATCTAAATATTAGAAAAATATATATAATGATTATATTTTAAAATTAATATTCATTTATGATAATTATCTATATCTATATTCAATTTTGAAACTTTTTATTAGATAATTTAATATATTTTTTTAAGCTTAAAAATTAGTACGTATTTAAAATAATTATCTATATTGATATTTAAAATAATTATCCATATATTTAAAATACATCAACTTACAGTTAATCAGGTGGTCTTCTCACTTGTGTAAGGAGTGAGAGGTTTCGAGTTTGAGTCTTTTCGACTATGGTTGTTTTCACCAGTTTGATGAGTCAATAAGAGGCCTACCCCTTATTGTGTAATCCGTAACGTTATTTTGACCCATAAAAGTCTCCAATGAATTAAAAAAAAATACACCAACTTACAAAATTAAATGGATTATACATTTATTAGATAGTATTATACAACTACAAATTTATGTTTTTGGTAAAAAAACTAAAATTATTATAAATAGCATTATAAAAATTTTTCTTTCATAAAATAATTGGCAAAAATTCATTTAATTCAATTGCATAAAATTAAAATGGAAAAATTGATTTTTTTGTCAAAATACACTCATCATTCCTTCATTTTGAAAATACTTTAATTATTTTTATATTTTACTTATATTACACTACTTTTTCCTTTTCTCAAAATTTTTATTATTTTTCGGTTAAGAGTATAAAAGGTTGCAAATAATACAGAGACAAACTAGTAAATTTTAGTCATAACACATAGATATAATAGTTCATTTTCCAAAACAGTATTACAAGTATTCACAAAAAGTATAAAAAATCGATGGAATCATAAAACAAAATATATATATATATATATGTAATGTAGTTCTAAAATATAGGGATAATATAATAATTTTTCCAATTAAAAAACTAATCACTGTTTTCTAACCTAGTACCCAATTTTAAATTTATCACAATTATATCAAAATTAATCAGTTAGCTAAATTAAAATAAAATTAATCAAAATTGAGATTAAAAAATAATAAATATAGGACCCACACTAAGTAAGTTGACCAACATCAGTTAGCTAAATTAAAACACACCGTTTTAAGCTGAAAAACAAAATAGATAAAAATACCAAATTATAACTGGCTTGAGAGTTTGTGGTTGTTAATAAAGAATGAATTTAAGAAACAACTAGGCTCCGTTTGTTTCGAAAAAATAAATTATAGAAAAATAACCATGAAAATTATTTTATAGGAAACCACATTATTTTCCGCGCTTAGCTTTAACATAAAATATTCTTGGAAAATATTTTTCAACATTTGATATAGCATTAAAAAATTTAATTTTCCATCATATAAATAATACATTTATACCTATTATATTATTCATAAGCAATGTATGTTAAAGATAAATTTAATAATTAAATTTTTTTATTTAAAATGTATTCACATAGTATAAATACTATAATGATGATTAATTTAATCTAATAATGCAATTTAATTTTTTTAATTAAATTATTTAACAATTCAGTGTATATCATGTTAAGATAATTTAACAATATATAAGTACTATAATTACTTTTATATTGCTAAAATATATACTTTAAATGGTATAAGCTTTAATGTATTTTAAAAAAATATATATTGTTAAAATAATCATATTACAAAAAATATCGTGTAAAATATATTTTAAATGGTATGAGCCTATCAATAAATTATTTTAAACATTTCTTCCAAAAAAAAAAGGCACTTGATTCATTTTTGACACTTCTAAATAGACTGGGGCCCACAATTGCACCCCTTAATAGGTGGAGTGTATTTTGGTGGATTAAAAAGACTAGTTTTGGATTACGAAATAAGTTAGGAAAATGTTTTTTCATGTAAACAAGGTAAGTCTTTTATTTTTTTTTATTTGCTAACTTATTTTCTATTGACCAACAACTTATTTTTTTTGACTTATTTTCTTTTAATGTTCCAAATAATGAAAAATTGTGAAAAATATTTTTCTACAAATTATTTTATTGAAACAAACGGAGCGTTAGTTAAAATAAAGATCTCATCTTTAGCAGCATTTACTCCTGCCGAATAGTTTGGAAATGAAAATAGGTCCAAAGAACAAACAGTAGTAGAAATAAACAAATGAAAAGGGGATTGAGATAGAA